ATAACAACAAAAAAGCAGCTCAGAAAACTTAAGCCAATTAGGCAATTTAACAGCTCACACAATGAAAGATTCTAGTCTAACTGGATCTAGACTGTCAAAAGGCACCATCAGAGCAGCCTCTCCCTCTACCAGTGCCTTGCCAGCTATATTCTCTGCGGGGTCTGTCCTCTGAGGATCAGATGACCAACAGGATCTCCAGTTCCCTTTCCCTCCCCAACAGGCTCTTTGGACAGGAGACCAAAGCTCAGAGTAGGCTCCAGTAAAGTCTAGCTTTGGTAATATATTCACTCTTTTTTGTTTTTTTGACACAGGGCCTCATTTTGTAGTGCAGGCTGGCCTTGAACTCATGGCGACCCTCCTGCCTTAGCCTCCTGTGTACTGTGATTACAGGTGTGCACCACCACACCCGGTTCACATGTTCACTTCTAAACCACCTATTGGAGGAATGTGCTTTTGGTCAGCCTTGGACTGGGTCACAGAGCTGGGGCTGAGTTTAGCCCAACCCAAAATACATAGTAGTAACAGCAAGTGTTATGTAAAGTTTACTGTTTGTTGCAAATGGTTCTGTGTAGATAACTCATTTTAACCTCACGTTATTTATCTTGTTTATTGATTTGATCATCTATTATCCTTATTTTATTGATGGGGAAGTTGAGACACCAACCCTCACCACTAGTACAGTCTCTAATTTATCATGGTTCAAAATGATATGCATGCAGTGGAAACTGTACGTAGAGTCTTGAATTTGGATCCTTTCTCAGGCTAGTGATATATGTGGTAAGATCCTTGACATGATGGGGAGGGTGGGGAGCCACACTTCAAGTTGGCCCTATGATCTCGAGGGGGAAACAATGGGGACTGTCCTGTTCTGTGGCACTAAGCGATGCTGTTTGTTAGGGCAAGTTAATGCAATGTATTTTCAATTTATGATACTTTCAACTTCTGATGGGATGGGTTTATTGACATATAAACACTTTTGCCAGTTGAAAAGCGTTTGTATATTATAGAACCGGAAGCTGATTCAGAATCTGAATCCAAGAAGGATAAAATTGGGGCATTTGTAGGTAAATAGATGTAACTGGAGAACATAATGTTGTGAAATAGGTCAGACTCATAAGCTTAAATATCAGAGGGAGGGAGAGATGAAGGGAGGGATTGAGGCGGGGAGAGAGAGAGAGGGAGAGAGAGAGAAGATAAACAGAAAGTAGGGAGTTCAAGTAATTCCTTAAACTATCCAGTCCAATGTTTCAAAGGTATTTTAATATGTATGCTAATTTGTTTCATTTATACTACTAGTTTCCTCAGTACATTGGAAACAAGTTTTATGCTATTTGTTTCGATTTTGTAAGAGAGAATCTTGTACTCTGAGTAACTACTTTGAAGATGATACACACTGAATGTTTCTTATTCTCTTATTTTGTGATATTTTATTTTCATATAAAATTTTAAAAATGAAATGTATCCCAAGAACCTGTGAGAACAGGTGCTTACCAGTGACGGGGCCATATGTATGAGGTGTACCTATCTCCTGGTATATGATCTAGCCTGGATCATGAGCTTCCTGGGGAAGTGAATCCATGACAACTGTTCTGTCCAAAGATGTGAAGAGTATCTCAGAGAAAGCCTCAATCAGCAACTTCTGGGCTTCAGGTACTTTTAGTCAAAAGTAATCAGTGCCCTAAACCACTGGGCTCTGGGTGGCATTCACTGAACTTCTGTCAACCAAAGGCCCCCAGAGCTACTTCCTTGTCTTCTAACCCCTGTTGAGTTCTGCTCTCCAGAGAGTAGGTATGAAAGAGCCCAGCATTGTGAAAGAACACAGAGATTCCCAAGCTAGAGGAGATGCCCAAGGACAGGGCTGAGAAATGAACCCAATCCATTTTCCTATAAGGAAAAAGCACAATTTAATGAATTGCTGCATATGATTTGGAATCACTCACAGATCATGTAAAGAGGAAGTCTACCTTTCACATCTCTCCAGCAAGATAGATAACAAAAGTATTGTTTTGGTTCTCCAAATCACAGTTTGATTAAGGTGTCATAATTTTCTGTCGATGCTGACACTGGGAGGCCAGGTGAAGACAGATGAAGGAAGATGGAATGAGCCAGGGAGATCTCCAAAAAGCAAAGGACTTACTTTCTGAATGGTTAAATGTCAAGAGCTATTCCATATATTTTTTTGGGGAAAATAATTTCATAATTAAATTCTGCTTAGGGCTGTGTGAGGCCTAAAGTCCTTGGAGCGCAAGCTAGCTACGGCATGCGGAAACATAGTTCCGTGTGCCTCAGGTCACAGCCGAGGCCTCAATGGTCCTGTGATGCTGTGATGCTCCAGGGAAAGAGTACATCATCTGAAGAAGTCCTGGTTCTTGTGGAACTGAGTAGTGATAACAAAAGAGAAATGTTTCACCTGGGGGAAGGACAAATTCCTTATCAGACTGCAATCTCATCCCACCTAGTATTTATTGTAAGAATGCTTTGCCCCTTTTACTGTCCTCATCAACCTGAGCCTCATCAACATAGGACTGAGTCACTCAATACTCCCTCAGATTATTGGGTGCACTCAATAAATAGCAGCTATCTCTGAGTGTCTTTGTCTTTGCCCACTCTGGCATTGACCTCCCAAACCTCCATGTACTCTGAAAGTGTTTTTCTTCAGCCTTCATGCCACCCCTCTCTAGGCAGATTGGAGGACTGAGCCCCCCACCACCTATAGTGAAACATCTATACTAAAACATCCTACTTCACTTTTGAAATCTCAATGGTTTGCTCCTGTGTTCTGTCAGCTTCTAATGCTGTAAATCCCCAAATCTCAGTGGTTACAAGATTCTTTTTCACTCATATTTCACATAGCAGGTCTACTCATGCTGCTGCTCAGAAGAGGCAAATGTCATTTCTGCCATGTTCTGATGGCCAGGCCACATGATCAATGTTGATCTCAACAGGTGTCTTGACATCCTTCCTTCTGGAAGGAACACCTGGGATGGGTCCATAGACGACGATTTTAAATAATATATAATCTACCATACCCCGTTTCTTCAGGGGTTAAAAAATTATTTTCCAATATTCTTAAGGGACTATCATTTTGGTTTTATTTTTACAGCTGTTTAATGTCTACACTGCTATACAAGTTGCATTTTTTTTTTTTTTTGAGACAGGGTCTTGCTGTGCAGTCCAGGTTGACCTTGAACTCACCATGTAACTCAGGCTGGCCTCAAACTCACCACAATCTTTCTGCCTTAGCCTCTTGAGAGCTGGGATTACAGGTATGTGCCACCACACGCAATGCAATTTTTTTTCTTGCTTTCTGAGCCAGTGGAAGGTTTCCACTAGGAAGTCTAAATGACTTCTCATCTATTACCACTGAGAAAAAGTGAACATTTTCTAGATAATTTTAAGCACATGCAACGAGGCAAATGCCTTATATTAGAGGCTGGGGAGGTGTTTTAAAATATTTCATATATATAATTTGAGAAAAGATGGAGAATGGGAAAGGAAGGTAAGGACATAAGGACATTCCTTATCTCAGGCTTTAGAGGTGAGGAGCCCGGGTACAAGGAGTTCAGCAGTTACTCGAGGTTTAAAGTGTCAGAGGCAGAACTTAAATTCTGAAGGTTTCTCTGGTCCCCAAACTCGTTTTTCCTGTGTCTAATATTGGCTCCCCCAAAAAGGTAAAAGGAAGAAAGGGATAATTTAAAAAATTAATACTTACTATTATACACAACGGAATAGTGACTTTTCAACAGACATTGCTTATACAGATAATACCACTGTAATGAACACTTCCCTCTTCTGTGAGGTAGGTTTCCCAAAGAATAAGGAAAGTTGACAGGCAGTAGCAGCACAGAGCCATAGGAGTGAAAGAAGGCACTGAGAAAAAACGAAGAGAAGACCAAAACAGAAAAACAAGGAAGGGGAAGGCCCCAGCCCTCCGGTGGAGGCAAAAGGAGTCTGGAGAGGCCGGGCTCGCCCCCTGCTGGCCGGATGAGC